TCAGATGGAATGCTTTAATTCAGACACTTTAGAATAAAACAAATGAAAATGTTACAGCTGCAAAGCAAGATTAATCCTGCTCATGTGGAATTTTTCAAGTCACTATCTCCTTCCTAGTCGATTTAAGCAGTCCACCATGATTGAAGTTTGCCTTTTTTTTTTTTTTTTTTTTTTTTTAGTTTTTTTTTTTTAGCCATAGGGAACATCCCTTTGTTGGGGGGAGCAGGATAGGGCACATGCACTTGTTGGAGAGAGACAGTGAGAAGGAAAGTGAGAAATAATCACCACCTGGGGGGATGGACCCCACCACAATCTTCTCCTCTGTTCTCTCATGATTTGGGGCATGCATGCCTATACGTCCAGTGTGATTTTAAAGCCACTGGATCTGGGACTCGAACCATAGTCAGCCATGTGGGAGTCTAGCACCTGACATTATGCCACTTGCTAGGACCTGGAGTTTGGCTTTTATAAATAATATGTACTAATTATTTCAATGAGGAATTTAGACTGCAGAGGAATTACCTGAAAGTAATTGAACCTACTTCTTATGGAATAAAATACAGAAGCAGTTAATATAAAAATAAACATTAAATCACCAACAGCATAATTAGAGCTACAACATTGTCTTTGAATTTTTCATCATAAATTTTAACTAACTAGTCTGATATAGATAAGGATATGAGTATAAATGCAAATATGCAAGAGATAAGGATAATTTTAATATGTATAGTGGTTAAGAATATTCAAGCATATAAGTAGATTCAAGCATATAAATCATATATTCTATTTAAAGATAGAAGATATGAGGGCCAGCAGGTGGTATGGTGGTTAAGGGAGCTGGACTCCCACTTGGCCAACTGCGGTTAAAGTCCCAGACCTGGCAGCTTGCTTTCTCACTTTCTCTCTCTGTCCCTTTCTTGTCAAGTTAAAATAAAGAAATAAACAAACAAAGTTAAATAAAGTAATTCTTTTTAAAAAGATGGAAGATATTAAAAAAAGAAAAACACACATTCATCTTGGTCTGGATTTTCAATTTCTGCTTTTCCAATCTGATTTTGCTTTTTTACATCTTGAAGCCATGTCTTGTTACTTTTTAGTGTCAGAGTTCAAATGCTGATATTAGAGAAGTTTTTTATTGTAACTAGAGTGCTTCAACTGCAGTCTTTGTATTTTATTATTACTTTTTTTAAGTGTTCTTTATAACTTCTACAATACAAAACTTTTTTTTTTTTGAGAAGTTTTTGCTATAGCGCTCGTGTGCTCACCAGAAAGTCAGAGAGACAGAAAGGGAGAAATCACCCCCCAGGGGGATGGCCACACCACAATTCCTTCTCCTCCATTCTCTTCTCAGGATCTTGGGCACATACATACACACATGTGCCCAGTGTGAATTTAAGCCACCAGGTCTGGGACTAGAACCACGGTTGACTACATGGGAGTCCAGCAACGTAGTCATTATGCCAACTGCTGGTCCCAACACAAGACATTTTAATGGTGTGCAAAGCAAAACTTACAGAGACAGATATGTATGCTTTCAACTCTTGGTTCTATCATATACTTGTGTGACACTGGACTAGTCATTTAATTCCAAAAAGATCAGTTTTCTGAACAATAAAATGGGATTTTAAAAAAAGCCTATTTCATTGTGTTCCTGCACAGACTAAATAAAATAGCATAGTCAAAAAATAGGATTTTGTATACATTATAGTAAGTGTATAAATAAATTCATAGTGCTTTCATTTTACATTAGATTTTCACATCTCTATTATAACTGTATTTGTAAATACGGTTTGCTTTTTGGTTGCTGATGTGATGAAAGGACTGTAAAACTATCTGTTGTTTTAGGGTAGAAAATAATATCTCCAAGATCAAATGACTCCATTGGGAGTCTCTATTGATACAAAAATCTTATATTTTATGGTTATTCCTTTCATGTCACTAATATACACAATATGTGTGAATTTCTCCTTATTCTAGTTGAACATAAACTTAATCGTTTTCTGTCCTTAACATTAGATTTATACATGAAAATAATCTCAAAATTAATGTAAAATAAAAGAAGCCAATTTTATAAACAGACCTCAGGCAAAATAAAGGGTGACTCGAGAAGTAAATTGCAAATTTAGAAATGATGTTTTATAACATCAGAATATAATGAAGGTTGAAGGTTTGATCATGTTAAAGACATCTCTCTCTCTCTCTCTCACACACACACACACACACACACACACACACACATCACAGTATTTAATGAAAAGTGGTCAAGATATAAAAATTTTATCCAGTTAATATTCTTATCACTAAATATACTAACTAGTGTATTGCCCTATATTATACTTACATAATTCTAGGCTCTTTATAAAAATCCCTGAATAGCTTTATACTCTTTCAATGATAATTATCATTTTCTGAAACATACCTAGGAAAAACTTAAAATAAATATTTGCCAAATTAAATATTGGTTGGTACCAAAGATAAATTATTTTTTGGTAGTATTTTTAACATTTTTTTCTATCCATGCAATCCGTAGCCAGATGACAGAGTTATTGATTTTTTCTCCCCTGAAAAATAAGTTCATTAAGGTTTTGATCATATATTTTGCCTTTTTAAAGAAAAGTGAATTGGCAGATCTACAATCAAGGGGCCATTACAAATTGGAACTGTGAGTCAATTGAGCCCTCTTGTTTTGTTCTTTAGTTATACAAACGCCCATGTGGAACATTTCTCAAAATTTTTTTTCATAATTTTTACGGGGAATGCACTCTCTGGAGGAAGACAGAAAGAGAGAGAAAGAGAAAGTGAAAAAGCACCCAGGGGGATGGCTATGCCGTAATCCCTTTTCTCCATTCTCCTCTCAGGATTGTGGGCATGCACAGGCTCAGTATGTTTTTTCAAGTCACCAGGTCTGAGACTCAAACCTCATGATCAACAGGGACCCAGCTGCCTAACACCATGCTACTGCCTGGCCTCAAACTTTTGAAGATGAGAGAAGAGATTATAACAAAGCGATGTGCCAGTTAGTTTTCTAGGCACTTGTCATGGCCTGAATGTGTCTGCTAAAATTCTGGCACTTGAAAGTTGATCCCAAGGCAACAGTGTTCGACAAGTGGCCTAGAGGGGTAGAAGTGCTTAGGTGATTAGGATTCCAGCCGCATTAATGAGTTAATGCTGTGTAAAGAAGGCTCATAGGAGAGGATTTCAGTCCTTCTGCCTTTGTCATGTGAAGAACAGCATTACCGCTCTCTGTAGGATGAAGCAAGAACCCTCTTGGAATCAGAGGTAGAACTGCCACAACCTTAATATTGCACTTCTCAGCCTCTAGAACTGTAAGAAATAAATTTCTATGGTTTGTAAACTACCCAGCCTGTGGCATTCTGTTTTAACAGCACACACACAAAAAGATAGCACTAGAGACAGAAAAGAACAAATAAACTTTAAAAGACGTGCTAATATGAAGGACACAAAAAAGTACCTACAATCAAGAGCACGTGTCCTTGGGGTTGTAGCTGTTGCTGACTGTTTTAATGATTAAAATACCGACTTGCTCAATGATACCTTGGATATTGCAATCAGGGAAAGTCTGTGAGATGGTGAAATTTAAGTATATATGAAGAAATGAAGGTGAGGTCCAGGTGAATATTAGATCTCAATGAAAGGACAGAAAATAAGGAAAGGTGGGAGTAGGGGGGGCAGGAGAAAAATAGATAAGCAAAAAGGAGGAAAGGAAGATGCTTCTACTTAAGGCGTCATGTAAACCCCTTTCCAAATACAAAGACTGAACTATATTTATTAGAAGAAAAAAGTAATCGTAAGATGTTCATGTACCTCTAAAGGAATAAGCACAACAGCCAGCTGTGCTGGCACTCTCCACAAGGTGAAGGCACTGTGCTGTGCAGGCTGGGGCCACATGGGAGGTCTGGCTTGATACTTGGTCCAACCCAAAGGCCAGGAACACTGGGGTGTGCCTGTAATCCCAGTGACTCGGGAGGCAGAAGCTAGAACATCGTCAGTTTATGGCTAGCCTGGGCAACGTAGGGAGGCTCTGTCTGAAAAAGCAGGGCGTGGTAGCTTACACCACCTGTTGTCCCAGGTGGGAGGCTAAGGCAGGAGGATTTCAACACAGCAAGATACTGTCTTAAAAAGAGTAATGATAACAACAGTCAAAAAAATTAATGGAACAGTCTGATAAAATAAAAGAATAATGTGATTTATACCAAAGGTAAAAATTTTGTAAATATATCGTAAGATTTATCTAGTATAAAATGTTAGTCACGAGAAGTCTATTATAGTTTGCAGTTAAGTTAAACCATGTTTTATAAAATGTAATTTGATTAAAATGTAGGAGAATATAAAAATATGAGAACTTACATAAAAATACTTAATGAATACACATGTACTCAGATAAAGTTAAATATATAATTAATTATATAATTAAATGTATTATTGACATTAATTGAATATTTAATTAATTATTAATATACTTATCTATGTAAACCAAATTTATATTTTATAGGTATTTTTTATATTTACCTATATTTCAGAGTTAAGTTTAAAGATCTTTTCCAAGTTTGCCTTGATCTGAAAAATCACTTCACTTCAAACTTACTTGTACTTATACTGATGCACATAGCTTTGTATGTTTAAAATCCCTACACATTTATGTCTTAAATATAGTAAATGCTAAAAAAAAAAATTGACAAAAAGAAGGAATAAGTATAAGCTGTAGGCATTTTTGAAAGAACAATGTACCACAATTTCAAGCATGTGTTTGTAGCTTGGAAATAACTCTCCTCCATATACACAAAGTATACAAGAATAGATGTTGTAACAAATACATCCCCAGGGACATTTTATGTAAATAAAATGATTTTATACCCATGAAGGTAGAATCAAATTGTCTCTAAACATTCATGGAGAAGCCAGAGCCTTGTAGTCTAAATAATGAAAAGTTCTTGATGAAATGTGGAAAGGGCACAGTGTAGAATGGAAGGGTTACTTACCACCATCTCATTCAGAGACACCCAGCAGTCTGGAGGGAAGTCTTGCAGCAGTGGAACCAAGAACTGAAGACAGCCATCCCAGTGGCACAAGAGGAGCATCATGCCGATGAGATTGAAAATCCTCACCACTGCACTGGCAAGGTCATACGTCATGTGGAATATCTGTTGGGCAAAATATAACATTAGTTCTCATAATCCATTTTTAAAAATAACGCATACTATCAATGTCCATAGGTAGTTCTATGTAATGTAAGTTTCAACTTAATAAAACTCTAGAAAGAGCTTTTAGAAATAGGTAGAAACAGAGATTACCTTGCTTTACCTTTATACCAAGATTGGCGTTCTGCTTTATGAATATATCACTAACTGTGCATTTCTCACCACAGAGACAGCATGAATACATACACATAATGTCTTAAAGAACATTGTTTTTTTTTGGCAGTAGTTTTCATTTACAGTTCTTCTGGACATTTTAGAAAAGCTGCTTTAAAGCAAGGTAACAAAATTGACAAATGATGGGTTGCCTCTTGTCTACTTCTCATCCTTATTAATAGAGTTGTTGAAAGACAAAGAAATTACCCAATGACCGAAAACCATAAACACAAAGAGTTTAACTGAAAAATAGAAAGTAAAATTGGAAATACATTGTAACTTAACTTTTGCTATGCGATTGGAAGTACAACTTTAATTGTGTCTATTAAATACGAATAGTAGCCATTCAGAAAAAAAAGTTACTAAGATTTGGTTAAAAAATAACACTTTTTAAAAATTATGCATGTTTTTCCACCTGCATTATTTTATAGTTCAGCATTCTTTTCCTGAGACCCTTTCTAATTAATATTTTCACAAAATCCAAGATAGTAGTTGGAACTTATCTCAGAAAACATAAAACGTACGATAAATCAACATTCCCCATCAAAATTTTATAAATTGAAAACATATATCCAGCTTTGTATCTGCATCTATTCATTTTTATAATTATTATTAAAAAGAATCAGAACCTAATTATTTTCTTTAGTAGCTTATAGCACTCTCCTGCTGCCAATACTTCAGCTAGTGTTTCTGCTCATACTTTAGCTAATCTAGAATAACAAAACCCAATTGGGAGCAGACCTAGATTCTAGAATGAAGTTTTTTTTAATTGTTAAGGAGTTACTAATCAGTAAAATTAATAAATGTGCATAAATACATAGAAACGGGACATTTCAAGATTTTTAGAATCACATTTTGGATAATTCCCCAAAAGAATGGTATATTTTTGAATTGACTACATCGATTAGGAAATTATTTAAGAAAGATAAAACAATCCACAAAGTTAGTATTTTGATTTTGAAACTATATCGTTGTAAGAAAACTTCTGCAAATCTTAAGATATGCATAGTAAAATAACAGGACATCTGTGATGTTGCTTTTATAAAACCACCAAATCTATTGTTAATTAAATGTTTTTCACTTTGATACATTTCTATGAGAGTTAATTCTTTCTTTCAACACTCTTCTCTTTGACATAATAATTATAGTGGGCAAAAAAAAATTTTCCTTTGTGGGAATGTACACACTGTTCTGACTTCCTTTTAAAAGGAAAATAGGGGGGGTCTTAGATTTTAAAGGCACTAGATAACATATTTTGATATTCAGACAGCTGTACACATAGTGACTTACTCTATAGCATTAAAAAATTACTTTCTTTTAAGCTGCTTTTAAAATTTTGTTTTTATCTTTGGTAAAGCCGCAGAAACATCTTTTTGGTATTCTTCCCTCTGATATGTCTTCCCTGAATTTGAGAATAGAAACTGAACTAACATTTTTATAAATAATTCTCATTAAAAGTAATACAGTAAAAGCATTTAAAAAACCTTTCTACTGATAAAGTACTGGGGAAAATCAACATGAATTTAAATTTCTTTTACTGTAATAATAGAATCCAAAAATGCATGTAAGTATTTTCTAGGAAGATGGTTGAAGATGAGCCAGTGTTGCATTGTTGGGTAATATAGTAAAATTGCAGAGTATAAACTTCTCGATCAAACAGGAGACGTGCCACCTTTCAGCTTAATTATTGGAGGTAAATTGTAAACTGTTAAAATTCTCTGTCAGTCTACAAATTATAAGCACAGAGGCAATAACCATTATTTTACTATTAGACTTTGGAGTAGAGTGTGGACTGTTGCAGAGAACCAGGCCTAGTCTTAGGAGACCTGACTTTTTGTATTTTCTACTTTCTTTTGAGGAATTTTCATTCTTTTGTGGGATTTTAAAAAATTATTCACTACATTAAAATAACATAGAACGGTTTTCAAAACATTCATAGAAAACATATTGTGGACCAGCCAGTTGGCATGGTGGTTAAAACAGCTGAATCCTGCATGTCCAACTGCAAAATTGGAGTTCCAGACCCAGCAGCTTGAAAAACATACTGAGTGCATGTTTGTGTATGCCCAGAATCTCAAGAGGGAGAATGGAGAAGAAGGGATTGTGCTGTGGTTATCTCCCCTGAATGATTTCTCACTCACACTCTCTCTCTCCCCCCAGAGAGCACATTTGCACTATAGCAAACTTAAAAAAGAAAAAGAAAAAGAAAAGAAAAGAAAGAAAAAAGGAAAAGAAAAACACAACAAAAAAAATACATATTATGAAAAAAATGCATGAATTTCAAATTTTTAGCACTACAATATACTCCTATTTTTCATTCTGCTTTTCCATGAATTTTAAGAAGTCCTTTTGTATGTTAATAGTTATTTATCAATTCCTTTACAAAAACCCTATTATCTCTTATTAAATAGTCTCTATAGAAGCATAACCACTATTTTCATAGAGGGAGTTAATGGGGATATAAGGCTTTTCATAACATATGACTACTTTTTTGATTCACTTCCACATAATTCTATAAACAATAGGACAATAGGATAATCTCTAAATTTAAGGCTATCTTCAGGGCCAGCAGGTGGCATAGTTGCTTAGGGTGATATGGTTGACTTAAGGCAACATGGTTGACTGTAGTTTGAGTCCAAGACCCAGTGGCTTGAAACTCACATGGGGTACATGTGTGTGCATGCCCAAAATCCCAAGAGAAAATGGAGGAGAAGAGACTGTGGCATGGCCATTCCCCCTAAGGGGTGATATCTCACTTTCTTTCTTTTTGTCTCTCTCTGTCTCTCAGGCAAGCACACATGCCCTATAGCAAAAATCTCTCTCTCTCTCTCAATAAAAAAGGCTATCTTCTATCTCATTTCCACTCCCAATACCATAATATTAGTTGGTACACTAGATTCATGTACTAACTGTAATATATAGGAGTGCCTAGTAACAGCTCACATTATTAATTTCATGAACAGCCCCTTACAGACTTTAACATTGTGTGTTCCAAAAATCAACACACTTCCTGGAGCTATCCCTAGTTTAACTTTTAAGTATGGTATAAGTAAGCTAGCTATTTTGACTTTGGCTAACTTCAGAGACTAAATTCCAATAATCAAAACCATATATCTCCATCTTAATTTATCTGATCAAAGAACATCCAAATGTATGTAGTATTACTTTTGATGTACGTGTATATGAACATGTGTAGTACCTAGACCCAGTCCCCTTATCTTTAGAGCGCTTATCATTAATATACTCTGGCAGGCATAATCATTACACATAACCTGAATATTGAGATTAATGGTTCTGTTAAAACCTTGCTTGTGAAAGATTTATAATGAGAACACTAGTACTTCATTATGGAGCACACGCATCTATAGATAGGTTAAGGAAGAAGAAATCATCTGATCTAATTGACACATAGCAACAACTGTTTATTGTCTAAGGGCAGCTGTAGGCCAAATAAAAGTTTGACTTTATTCATTTTAATGATCAAGTTGCCAGTATCATTAATATTTTAAGTCATTCTTCTTCTATGAGGTAATCATCCTTAAGCAATAAATTCCCAAATAAATCAATTATCTTCATTTTACTGTATGAAAACTTGTTACTACACAAAAATGATACTATGCATGATACACAGTAAATTGTTGCTAGGTGAATGAGTGAGAAATTTGAAGTGATTTAATAATAATAACACAAATAACCTTTTATGGTCTTAAAGAGTGTGAAGCTTTCATTTTTGTGTTTTAAACCAGAGAATTAAAACAAATGAACAAGCAAAAACAACAACAACAAAAATGATTAATTTCACCTTGCAAGTAATTTAACGTGGAACCTGAATTGAGTACTCAGGGTGTGTGTAGAAGAAAAACAAGTCATTCTGACCAGCCAGCTTTCAAGTGGTACTTCTAGGCATCAAAAAACAGGTTTTTAAAGCATCACTTTCATCAAAAATTATTTGATAAAAGATGTCAATGCAAGGCACTGTGCCTTCCTATGTTCAACCCAGGACATTGTGTTATTCATGTGACCTCAAGAAGAGGAAAGCTCTGGTCAGAAATATATTTTCTTTCATAATATTATAGCTGTAGAATCCTTTGCAATTTGAGTGCAGTGACGGTAGATGGGATAGCTAATTAATTTTCCCCAAAATGAAGAAGGCAGAGGAAGGTATTCTGAGTCAGAATCATACAACTTGTCCTAATATTTACAGAATTATCAGCACAAATATATTTTTGTAGAATTTTTTTCCCAGGATGAGGGTATATTCATTTTATTGTTAAAAGCCCGAGTCCCTAACTGTGCTGTATGGCAGATATTTATAAAGCAGCTGAATTCTCTCAGAATTCTTCTATTTTATTTCTTAATGAACTAGATTCAGGGATGGCTCAACAAAATAGCCTGCATATAATTCTTCTCTTGATTCACTGGGTTTTACCCTAACCAAAAATATATCAAGAATAATTTATGACTTTTCATAACTTGTATTGATCTGTCCTTACTCTTTGACTTCATGGACGAGGATCCTTTATAAGCTACAGTTTGTATAACCTTGATATTGATTCAAGGCTCCTAGTACACCTTCATAATTCTTATCAAAGTAACACTAAGAGAATCAAATAGGTCAGAAATAGTTCTCTTGACAGAGCACATTCTTATTTAATAAGGTATAAAATAATACTGGATTCTTTCTCTTTATAAATATGTACCTATATCTTGATATCCATTTAGATGGAGTGTATATATGCCATTCTAACAAAGAATATAAAAAAAGACATATCTACTGGGAACCAGCAGTT